GCAATGATACTTGGTTATGTTAATCCAGGTATGTCCTACTTCCCCCATGCTGAACGTAAATTCATTCTGTAAAACAATTTCCTGCATTTTGTTTGGAGCAAAGAGCCCGTACCTCCCCGTTCCTTGTTGTGTATTCCAATTCGGCATTGAGAATGCTGAACCGATAAGACAACCCAGTCTTTCTGGTCTGTTGATCATGTGATGCCAACCATTCCCTTTCAGATCTCGGGGTGTTTAAAGATTCCCAGAAAACCTCTCTCTATTTCTCTCGCTCTCTCTCTCTCTCCTCCCTCTCTCCTCTCTCTCTCTCCTCTCTCTCCTCTCTCTCCTCTCTCTCTCTTCTCTCTCTTTGTCTCTGCTTTCTTCCTCTCTTTTCCCTCTCTTTTTCCTTTTCTCTCTCTTTGCGTCTGCCTTCCTCTTTCTCTCTTCCTCTCTCTCTCTCTCTCTTTTACTATTCCTCTTTCCATTTCTTTCTTTCTCTCCTCTCTCTCTCTCCTCTCTCTTCTCTCCTTCTCGCTCTCTCTCTTCTTCTCTCTCTCCTCTTGTCTCTCTCCCCACCTCCTCTCTCTCCCCACCTCCTCTCTCTCCCCCCCACGCTCTCTCTCTCTTCTCTCTATCTCCCCTCCTCTCTCTTCTCTCCTCTCTCTCTCTTCTCTCTATCTGCTCTCTCTCTTCTCTCTATCTGCTCTCTCTCCTTCTCGCTCTCTCTCTCTTTATTTCTGCTCTCTCTCCTCCTCTCTCTCTCCCCCCCTCTCCCCACAGGTAATGGAGGTTCTGTGTGGACCAGTCCGGTGCTGGGGCAAGTCTATGATATGACTTATGTTTCTTACACTTCTCGGGGACTCCGGTTCTGTCTCATTACTTTAGTTATCACAATTGATGATGTCACACTTCACCCATCTGTTTGAGAAGTTCAGAGGCAGGATAAGTGACAATGTTTATTATGGATTTATGGGAGGGAGAAGTCCGGGTGAATCTGGGGAAAATTGAATTATTCCCTCCAATCCGGCTCCCTCTTTCCTCCTGATATCTTCAGCACCAACTCTGAGCATGCTGTCCTGGGTGTCATGGCCGTCCTTCTCTGCCCTGATATCTTCAGCACCCACTCTGAGCATGCTGTCCTGGGTGTCATGGCCGTCCTTCTCTGCCCTGATATCTTCAGCACCAACTCTGAGCATGCTGTCCTAAGTGTCATGGCTGTCCTTCTCTGCCCTGTTTGCAATTTGCTGCGTCTGAGCAGAACTAAAATACCAATAGCCTATAAATAGCCATTGAAGTCCTATGAGCAGCACACACAGTCCATGTTGTGACAGCTAACCCAGGTCATCATTCTGACACCTCCTGTGGGAACTATACATCTTTCAACATACACCTGCCAGTCCTGACCACTGCTTATATGTATTTCTTGTGTGTGTATATATATATATATATATGTGTGTGTGTGTGTGAGCGTCTCTATTCCTGAGCCTGGACAGCTGCTAAAGGCATCCAGTCCAGTGTTATACATAGCCATAGAGAGGTTATGACCCCTGGGTGTTCTAGTACAGATGGGTGATGATGCCCTTGTAACTCATATTTGGTGCTGCAGTGACAGATTTCACTTTTAGCACCACCTCCTGGTGAAATCTTGTATCACACCAAGTTTTTCGTTGTACAGCAGGGGAAGGCAAACTCCGGCCCTCCAGCTGTGGTGCGAGAAGCTCTTGGACGATTGCCTTAGAGACCATAACATACAGGGGTACAGGTACTCCTAAGAACAAGATCACACATGGACTCACACACGCACACACCAGCAGAACCATATGCATACACGCAATAGGGTGGACTTGTGTCTTTATTCAACCTCAAATACTATGTAACTATGTAACTACAAGTCCCATGAGGCATTGCAAGACTCTGACAGCAACACGCATGACTCCTACAGGCAGAGTCATGCTGGGATTTGGAGTTTCACCACAGCTGGAGGGCCTGTTGTACAGTATTGTTCCACTAAACTTGCCGGGTCATGACTCCCAACGCAGGGTAGGCACCCTCATCTACTCCAGCTGTTGAAGAACTAAAAATCCCATCATACCTCTACCCCTGGGAGTCATGCCTGTGGCTGTCAGTCTTGTGGAAATACAAGTCCCTTGAGGGTTTGTGAGATTGACCGTCACAGGCATAATTCCCAGAGGCAGAGGCATGGTGGGATTTTTAGTGCTACAACGTCTGTAGTAATGAGGTTGATTCTCCCTGCTTTGGGAGTCATGCCTACGGCTATTAGAGTTTTGCATTGAATAATGGGATTTGTAGTTCCACCACAGCTGGAGGGCTGAAGTTTGCCTAGCACTGCACTAAAAGCATAATACCTGATGAGTAGAACCAGAATCTGCAAAACACTGTTAACTAATGGTGGTCCTGTTCTCGTCAACAAGGGTATTGCAGGCACAGAATTTCCTGCCAAATCTCAGCTTGTCTCGAAATTAAAGTGTTTCTAAACTTTTTTTCTAGTTTTGATAGAGTCTAAAACTGTTACTACTCTCATTGTTATTGCTGCTGCTTTTATTCTCTGTGAGGGTCTAGAGTAGAGGTGGCCAAACTCCGGCTCTCCAGCTGTGGTGAAACTACAAGTCCCATGAGGCACTGCAAGACTCTGACAGCCACAGACATGACTCCCAGAGGCAGATGCATGAATGGATTTGTAGTTTCACCACAACTGGAGGGCCATAGTTTGGCTACCCTTGGTCTAGAGAATAGAGTTGCCCAAGAAGCCGGCTCCTTTCCAGCGGAAGCACCGGTATCAGTACTCGGTATCGGCGAGTACCGAAAACAAAATATTGGTACTTGTACTCGATACCGGAAAACCGGTATAGGTGCAGCCCTAGTTCTAACCATTTATCACTTTACACAGAACCAGCTTTAGACCAAATTCACACTGTGCTAACTCAGGGCCTAAACGTCCGTGGAGCGTGTTGCAGCCTGTTAATCCCTATGGAAGGACGCGGCTGTATGTTGTCATACACACACCCGAATTGCACATCCGTCCGGGTGTCTGTGCTTGGATGCAGACAGGTTGGGTCTTCTCCTAATCCCAGGAGCCAGGTTGCCAATGCTCCTTACAGCTGGCACCCAACTATTAAGATTTCTTTAATCGTCAGTGGAGCATGCTCCTAAAAGAGCAATTCTGCTGGCCTTGTATTGGACAGACTGGCTCCTGCATTGGGCAGACTGGCTCCTGCATTGGGCAGACTGGCTCCTGCATTGGGCAGACTGGCTCCTGCATTGGGCAGACTGGCTCCTGCATTGGGCAGACTGGCTCCTGCATTGGGCAGACTGGCTCCTGCATTGGGCAGACTGGCTCCTGCGTTGGGCAGACTGGCTCCTGCGTTGGGCAGACTGGCTCCTGCGTTGGGCAGACTGGCTCCTGCATTCGGCAGACTGGCTCCTGCATTGGACAAACTGCCTCCTGAATTCCATATTCATTTATCCACCCCTGCCTTAACCTCTTCTGGTTTCTTGGTGTTCATAGTAATGTTTGTGTAGGCCGTTCTGCAATGCAAATTTTGCAATGGCTACTTCCCTTTACGTGACCTCATGTTAGAGATTACACACTTTTAGCATGGCAGCTCGGCCTATCACAGGGTTGTATAGAT